AATGCATTTAAGCAAAGAGATACCCTTTAGCAAGCAAAAAAAAAAGAAGAAGAAGAATGCGTAGTTAGTTGCAGTAGTATTTATGAATTTGGCTCCATTGTCTTAATCTTCACTTATGATTGAGCAAAAACTTTTGTAATGCAGATGCGTAAGGATTTGTCTTTAGACTGAAATTAGGAATTTAAATTGTTGACATCTATCCTTCACTGTCTGTGCTCTTCAACTTCTTTTAAAATGTTGTTTATCCTTATATTTTGTCAGTTACTGTTATTCTAAAAAAATCTTTCTTTTAAAACATTTTCTTACTGTTGCTATTTATCATTACCTGAACTTTGCCATACTGTGACCATGCGCTTGAAAGCCGTTGGGCTATATTTTATGTTTTGCATATGTACATTTAAATTAAACTATAAATTTACATTTTGAATTAGAAAATGTGTGAGTAATATGATTATATTTTTTTAGAAATATTGGAAAATTTCTGATTTAATGCCTTCTGTTAATGCAATTAAAAGATCTGTTTCCAACTGCAATTTGTGTCCGTATTTAGTTTTAACTATCGTCATTGCATCAAATGCTACTTTTGCGCAGATATGTAAAACCAAATAATGAGATTATGTAGCAAAATAATAAGGCTGCTGTGCTTACTATTTTCTGTTTTTAGAAATATTCCAATATTTTGTATTGGTTATTAGTCTCATTTAACACAGTTTCACACAACATTGTATTTTCTAGAAGCCTGCCTACCATGTTATAGGAGGGATATTGGTACATGAGTAAGGGAGGTGATGTTATTAGTCCAAAAATTCTACACTGAGTTGTAATTAAAAATGAAAAATATTTCTAGTTTAATGCATTTTTGGTATGATTATGATTCTAAAATAATAAATCGTCTAGACAATATTTATAATGTATGTTTAGACTTTGAAAACTTATAAATTACTTGAGTGAAAGTTCTTTTGGAATACTAAATGTAAATTACAAAAGTACTTGAATAATATCACTGGGTTTTAACTCACTTATAAACGTCAATTGGAACTTTTTGTTTTGTATTGTTCATTGGTGAAATATTCTGAATTTTGTATGACTAAATAATGCATTGTTGTGGATAGAAACAACCCTTAAAGAAGTATGTGTTTACAAAAGAATTTGGATAATATCTCTGAATTCTAACTCGCTTTTAAATATCCCTTAAAACTTTTTCTTTTTGTTTTACAGTGGTTATATATTTCAAATTATATGCAATTAAATGATGCCTTGTTGTGGATAGAAACTAATCTTGAAAAAAATATGTACAGAACTTGGATATAGTATTGAAATATTCTGAATTTTATTTAACTAAATGACACATTGTTGTAAATAGAAACACCTTCCAAATATTTTTTCATCATCTGCCATTTTTGTTTATTTTCCATGGACAATTTTATCACCCAGTACCTTTTCACTGGTGTTAATTTATTCTCTTAACTGACGCCTCAAGGCAAGTTGAAAATAGCATTAAATATCTCAGTCAATTTTTATCATACAAGAATAGAGCCTTTTCTGTTTTATTTTGTATAATGACTTTAAAATTCTTTTAAAATTGAGTATCAGGACCAGTGGAAAGTGCAAAAATTTAGATTTCCTAATTTTTTATAAAATCCATTTTTACTTCCCTCCAACCTACATATGTATAAAGGTAAATGGACGATTTTTTTCATGTTATATTAAATTTCCAAAAAGTTGTAATTTCCATGAAGTTTTCTGCATTTATAAGCTATACATATATATATCTCTACATATAATAAAAGAAAGAGTCTGTCTCTGTGTCTGTGTGTGTCTTTCGTTCGCGCTGTGCGTTAGCTAATAGATCCACGGCTACGAAATTTGGTACATAGGTGCATCTAGACAAGAGCCAGTGCACCTCAAAGCGATTTTTTTTTTTAATTTGAATTCGAATTTTTTTTATTTTATGTTTTGTGACGAAATCGCGTCATTTTGAGACATGATGGGCTATAGGAAGGCGAGATTTTACTCTACACACTCCATTTTCACATAGTCATGAAACGTAGGCACTTAGCTATTTTACGAACTTAAAATAAATTTTGTGTTTCAATAAATCGATTAAATACAAATTTATTTAACAAAGTGAGCTTAACACCTTTTCAGCGGAATTTTTTCCTTAAAAAGTTTATTTTTCTTTGATTTTTTGACATGTTAAACTTTCATCCTTGCCACTGCTTTTACAAAAAAAATTTCGGAAAAAATGATAATATTTTGCATTTAAAAAAAAAAAAATTTTTTTAATGTAGCTTCCGAGTACACTTCTCACATCTCACATCTTTAAAAATGTAATTTTGGCAACATTTTTCCTTTCTTATTGTTATTGATAGATTTTTGATGAAATCGCATCATTTTGAATAGTTTCATTCTCTTAGAAATATGGGTTTGGCAACAATTTTTCATCGTATTTCTTATGTCACTGTTTTTAAGAAATTGCCATATTTCATTGTCTTTTTTTTATATAAACACTTTTATATATATATATATATATATATATATATATATATATATATAATATATATATATATATATAAAGTTGTTCTGCAGAGTAAAATTCTGCACGGAATTTTTGTTTTTTGAGTTGCTTTCATGTTATTTTTTGCTTATTTCACTGTTTGTAAGATATTGAAAAGTTTTGCATGATTTTTTATTAGGATAATTAATATTTGTATTAAGGGATATAGCTTATTTCATTGTAATTTTTTCTCATGAAAATATAATATCATTAATTATGCTTTGCTTTTGTATTCTTTTATGTTATTTATTGCTCATTTCACTGTTTTTAAGATATTGAAAAGTTTTGACGGATTTTTTTAGGAAACAAAGTTCTTAACCTAATTTATACCATTTGAATTCTTAAGATTTTGCAAAGGGAAGTTGGTTAATTTATTTATTAGGATAATTAATATTTTTATTAAGGGATATTGCTTATTTCATTGTAATTTTGTTATACGTAATAACTTTTTTTTTATGAAGTTGTTCTGCAGAATAAAATTCTACGCAGTTTTTAAATTTAATGTTTGGTGTTCCCTTCACCCATTTTTCCGGTACATTTAAAAGCCAGACGAAGGCTGGCAGCAAAGCTGTTTATATATATATAATACATATATCCATAAAAATGCATTTGAGTTGATAAGATTTTGGGTAAAATTGGACAATCAGAAATGCTCTTTTACTTAAAACCTGTTACAGTTTTTAATCGACAACTGGAAGTGGTACTTTAGTTGAAGTGCATAGCAGTTTTACAGAAATCAACATAATATATTGTTGCATATATAAACCATAACATATTATTGTAGATGGTGAGCTTCGTTTACGGATACCTGACAATCATAGTGATATACATGCAGTTTGAGATAAATTTAGATTTGCTGATACTCTTAGAAATAACATTGACAATTCTGAATTTAGAATATTCTAGGTTTCATCAGTTTAAATCTGCTTAAATGATGTGTAGGTATGCTAACGTTTTCACTTATTATCTAGATCAGCTAAAAAAATGCTAACCATTCCCCTCACGACTCTGCAAGGGCCAAATGTGTTATCCTGGCCAATATCTATATGTCAATCAATTTATTGTCCTTGGCTATGGTGTGACTTTCTAGCCAGCAGATGTTTGAAAGTGACATGCTGGGGGTTTCAGTTAGTGAGCAGAACTTGCATTTATGGTTTGCAACTGCCTTCTTTTGATGAGTTGTCCATTCCTATGCTTGTAAGTGGGAAGGAGATGGGATTATTTAGTTATTTGAATTATATTTTTATTTGCTTATTAAATCATTGATCTAGATTTTAGGCTTTATACCATATCATTTTGCAGTTTCTGTTATCAATATGAAGTGAAATTTAATTTCAGAACCTAAAAGATTTTATATCTAGTAGATAAAAATACATAGGTACACATTATTATAAATATATATATTATCAAGAAAAGATTTTGCAAGCATATAAATGAGGCATTTAAATTAGTAATATAATAGTCGTACAGATGAATAAAATATAATAAATGAGCTAAGTAATTGATTTCGCCCATTTCTTCTGGCCACTTTTTTAACTAAGAAAAGTTAACCAGGTATGCATATTATTTGTGCTGAGGAAATAAGAATAATAATGTTCATAAAGTTGCAGGACTAGTTTTGAAGTTTTAAATATAGAACCATCTTCTTCAGCTTCAGGAGTGCAAAAACCTTTTTGCTTGTGAAAAAGAGGAACCTGTACCTATTTGCCCTCAAAATTGATAGTTTCAATTAAATTTATGCCAAAAACAAGGATGTTGATTTGTTTGATTTAACTTGCTTTCTTGGACCCATTGCTGAATGTTCATTTAATTATATGAGTTGTATTATGTCAGAATGAAGAGCATCCTTGAATAGTAAATAACTTAGATTCTGCTGAGACTGAAATATTGTTTACACAAAATGACATATGAAGCTTTTGGGTCTGATGACTATTGGTAAAATATTAAGGATAATGTATTGCATAATTGGACATATTATCAAACTTCTTTGTATTTCATGAACCATTCTCTTCTTTCTAACAGTTCCACGTTCTAATACTTAAAGGGTTATGTGAAAAGCCATTGTCTGCATCAAAATATCTTGTAAATACTAGTTACACTAAATTTTCAATTATTAGCAAATATGTATGTATATATGCAGTAGTTCCCAGAACATCCCCCTCTCTCTAATGTGTGAATTGATGTTGTGAAACATAAATTATTCTTAATGTTGTAAAATAATAATTATATTTTTTTCTTTATTAGTGAAATTGTTTGAAAATATGTGTGTAAGTAGTATTCAGAATTATTTGAAACTATATTGGATTTTTAGTGTAGGTATTTTTCTGGATTTCTGAAATACAGTTGCAATCTCCTCTGTTTAAAGCATAAAAATTAAAAATAATCTTAAATCTTCATAACACTGAACAAGTAGTGTACAGTAATAAATATTTTTCTCCTACAGGTATAGCAGTAATTCATGGAGAACAGAAAGAATCGGAATCTGATATGGTAGATGGGAGATATTCTCCGCCCCCTGCTGTGTCAGCATGCCGGACGATGGATGTTGGATTAGATATTATGCCTGGTAATTTTTTGCTCTTACATAAACTGCATGTTTTCTATCTGCATTAGTTTCTTTTCATCACTTTTGTATATGCATGCACAATAAAAATATGTTTATCTCACACCAATATTGTTATTGCCCTCTGATTCTTGTCTATCACACAGCAACACTAGTTAATCAATTTTTTTTTACCTGTTTTTTTTAGGCCAGCACTTCTTAAACTGTGCACTGAAGACCACAGCTGGTCTTCCAAGCCTGTCCTTGTGATGCTTTTAAGTTTGAAAAAATGACCAGTTATCTATAAATGTTTTTTTTTTTTTTTTTTTTTTTTTTTTTTTTTTTTTTTTTTAAATGCCATTTCTTGCTGATGACATTGGCATATTGGCATATCTTTCTCACAACTCACTAAACTCGGTGAACTCAATATGCTTTCAAAAGTAAATGAACTAGATCTGTGTGTGCAAGGTAATTTTTTCATTGTTCTCAATGCCCATAAAAATTTTAAAGGGCTTTGGGAAGGGCTTGGTTTGTAGGTTAGTTGTGTAAAACAAAAAAAAATTTCACTATTTCCAGCCTTGGACTTTTTTTTTTTTCTCCCCTCCAGAAAATTATACTGTTATTGGAAAGAATTATGCAATGACATAGTTTCACGTGTCCAGACTCGGAGGTCACAATTTGAAATGTATTTCTTAACTGGTAAATAAAATGAATTTAAGTGGGTTCTCTCCATTGTGACTTTGAAAATTACAAATTTGTCTTTGAATAAAAGAGAATAGTTAACTAAATTCTCTGACCAAACTTAAAATGAAATTCCAAGCGAAGGTACAGTGAATATCTGGATCTCATTACCAGTGAAAACAAAATGTGTTTAAAATGTTAAAAAAAGGAAATAAGATTGACACTTAAAAAATTATAACTTTGTTTGCTTCAATGAATTTGTGTGAGGGTGGGTTTTCATCACTAATTCAAATAAAAATGAAGGATCAAAATTGACTTGCTGTATGTGCCGCTCTCAGACTTCAGCTTACCGGCATGCATTCAGACATATAACAGCTGTGCAGAATTGGCAGGCATGTCCATCTCATTAATGCAGTAGTTATTAACTTTTTTATTTTTGCCCCATGCACCCCTTTCTCCATTGTTAGATGATCATTCCCCCTTCCTTCCAAAACTAAAAAAATACATATATTTAGATTGTTTTAATGTATTATATAAATTAAATAAGTATATTTAATAATATATTTATAATATATTTTAAAATAATATATTTTAATGTATTATATATTAAATAAGTAAGATTATTTTAATGTATTATATAAATAAAATTGTTGATAAATACCAAAACTTAAATAAAAGTAATTTTGTGAATTAAACTGTATATTTAATTGCTCAGTGAAAGGCTGACCCCATTCTTCCCGCGAAACTACGAAATTCCTCCTGGTTGAAAACCTCTGCATTAATGTGAGTAATAACATTTATTTATATTTAATAAGATTAATTAAACTCTAATAACCTTGAATAATTAAAACAAGTTTAACTTTCCTTCTATTGATGTAATTTTTTAACAGCAGTATAAAAAATTAAATGAAATTTAATTAGTTGTATTTTAAGTATGTTGGTTGCTATACACAAATTGCTTTCAAAGTTGACAAGAATAAAACATAGTTTTAGAGTAGTTTAAATATTCTACATTACTTAAATCTTCATCTAAACATTTAAAGTATTCTTTTTTTATTTAGAATCCTCAAATTCATTTGGAATGCCAAATAAATCTCCAGAGTATTCATCTTGCGCAAATATTTCCTTCTTGCTTTGACATTATCACAGGGTTTAATTTCACTTACTTAGTAAAAATTAAAAGCAGAATGATGTACAAAAATTATGATCATGGATTTGTATATAATGCCAACTTGTTAACACCAACCTTTGTCTATATGACACCAACTTGGTAATGCTAGTGTTATTTTGCCTGTCATTTTGCACCAGACAGGTAATGCTAACCTTTGTCTGACTTTTCTAGTCAGCCAGGTATGGGAGCCCCTTCCTCTAGTTCAGTGTCTGTTACTTTGCAGCGTGATACCACCTTGGGGAGGCTAACCTTAGTCTGTCACTTCTTTGTATGTAGCCTAACTTGGAAATGCTAATGTTACTTTGCCACTCACTTTACACATGCCAAATAACACTAACTTTTGTCTGTTACTGTGCTGCATGATACGAACTTGGAACTTTGTATATCACTTAGACATGATACCAGCTCAATGATGCTAACTTTTGTCTGTAGTTCCTTCATACATAACACTAAGTAATGCTAATCTTATTTTACCTGTCATTTTGCACATGGCAGGTAATGTTATTCTTTGTTACTTTTTCAGCATGACACCAACTTGGTAATGTTATCCTTTGTTCATCATTTTGCATGTGATACCAACTTGGTATTGCTATCGTTATGGAAATATTTCATAGAATTCTGCTAAAAATACAGTATTAAACCTCTTTGGAGTCCTTTAGAATAGGTACAGCTTCTATTGAGCTACATATAGCAACTCTATAGAAAAATGTGTAGCCATTCTATTGAGATTTATGCCGAGATTCTATAAAAATGTGTAGTTTCAAGTTTCTAGAATTTCCATGATTGTGATGTGTCTAATTTTCCTTCTTGTAGTGTTGGCAGCTAAAGAGAAACCTCCTATAAATGTTGTGGGTGATGTTGGAGGAAGAATTGCTATTATGGTGGTAAGTTGCTTAGTCAAATATAAAACTTAAATTTTATGAATGTATGATCAATGATTTATAAATCATGATTTATATATTTTATAAATAGAGCACAAAGTTTGAAATCTGGGCATCCAGGAATGATTTAATATCCACATCTCTGGACCAACAGCCAAAAGATTTTAAATAACTTCCTACCTCTTGTTGAGTTGAGGAATGGAGAATATAATAACAAAAGCAAGCAGGTGTTACATAAATGTAATTTTTGTTTAGACTAACTGAAATTCGTGCACATCACTTTCAAACACCAGCTGGCTAGAGAATTGCACTGTGGCCAAAGATAATGCATTCATGTTGGCCGGGGAGCACACTTTTAGCCCTTGAATGTGTGCAGGGCCAAGGCTACACATTTTATCAGCCAGTGCAATCTCTGCAGGTCCTAAATTCTACTACCCAGTATCAGTAAATTCTAAAAATTTTGCACTCCTAAATTCTAAAAATTTAGCCATCCCTAATTTTTGCTGCTAATTAGTTTTTATAAATTCAACTGAACACCTATTTCATTCATTTCTCCACATAGTTGACATGATACCTGACACACAGTGCTGCAGGAATTGAATCACATATGAATTTAAATATTTGTACATTTATAATTAGCACTTTTTAAAATCATGTACCATTTGCTACTTGATGTTTTGGATCTTCTGTAAGGATTTTTGGGGGGAGGAGGGGAATTAACATACTTTATCCGAAAGGCTGTTCATATTCAAATCCAGTTTTTCTTTTAGCTTAGAATCTTCAGTAACTTCAGCAAATTTCTGTTATGTCGGAAACAAATTATGTACAGACTTGTAAGTGACAATTTGCCAAATTATTTTCATCAGACTTTTTTAAATACATAATTATTGAAGAAAGAAATAATTAAGTGTTCAGTAATCTTTGAGAAATCTGCATTATATATTTTTCCCCCAAATGTTGATGAACTTGAACGCAGAAAAATTAGTCATTATGTCAAGTTTTATCTTATTTCTTAATTTGGTCAAAGCATTAAAAATATTTACACCAAAATTTTTTCCCATCTAAATTCTTCAATGGCTAAGCTAAATATTGACATAAAATGTTAAGAGAGGAATAAATATGTTTCAGTAATCTGTTATTTCTCTATGGAACTGTTAACATTTAGAAGCATTTTGAATAACTGTTTATAGTAGTCAATTTGTGTGCTTCTGAAATGAAAACTTGAAGGATTTTTAATTTTAAAATAAAAGGCATTTGACATTTTTTCTGAACTTGAAAAGGGACAAAGACAGAAAAGCTAAATAAATGACTGTCTTTTGCAAAAAAGGATAGGATAGTTGGCAGGACAAATACTGAAATTTTTAAAAGAATGCTCTCCCTACCTTTCCTCCCTTCCCCTCTCTAAAAAAGAAGAGAGAAAATATTAATCACAAAAGATATAAAATTTTCACCTTTATGGTACCTTTTTTTGCATTTCTGCTGGGGGAAAATTGATAGACGTATCTGTGATAATTAAAACCAGAAATACTGAGAGTTCTGCAACCCAGAAACTGTATAAAATTTTATGACCCATAAATATTGGAAGGTAAAACAACTAATGGCTTATTTGCCAATAACTAAGGATTTGTAAATAAATAAATGTCAGTGCTTGTCTTCTATAGCAGTTTTTATGAGAAGCAAACAGAAATTTTGTACAAAAATTTTTGCCATCGCAAAATCCCGCAGCAGCAGGTGCTTAATAATAAGAACTTATTAATAATAACAGGGTTCGTAGCGGTCCTTACAAGTGCTTATAAATCCTTATATTTGAAAATAAAATATAAAGGCCCTTATAGGTGCTTACTTTTTCTTTAAAGCCCTTATTTTTTTGTTTTTAGTGCTTATTTTTTGCTTTGAGTGCTTTTTTTTAATCCTTTGTTTTTACATGAACGCACATTTTTTTCCCCGTACCAAAGCCGAATCTAAATAAACAACTTTTTCTTCCTTATAAAATGGTAACGTCAGATGGTGAATCATACTTCCAGAAATTGCTTTTTCCCCCCTTCCTCTGCATTAACGTAACCTATGATGTGCGTGCGTGAGTCACAGACAGGTGCATGTCGTTCTATTGGTCAAAGAATTGCGAAATTGCAGTAGAAAATTTCCTGGTACATTTCGGTATTCTTTTCCTCCCACCCAAATACTACACACGTTTGAATTTCTATCAAGATTTTAATAAATTTGCATTCTCGTTACACGTGGTCAGTTCATATTCGTGTTTATTATGATCGTTGTGCTTATATTATGAGCATATGTATGAATATTTATAATAATATAATTGCAGTAACTGCTGAAGTATAGATAAACTTCCAAAAATGGGTAAGTTTGTTTGTAACACAGATTAGTTTTTTTACAGGAATAATTATTCAGAATGGCTTAAATAAAAGGAAAGTAATTGAATAGTCAAAATAATTTTCATTTTTCTTTTTTTTTGGCCAATACATTATGCACAGTACGGAGGTTGGGAGTTTCTTTGCAAAATCTCTAATATTGAAACCAGCGTACAGTTTGCAGCAAAGCAAGTAACAGACTTTTTTTGGGGGGGTCAACTGTCCAATCTGGATTGAATAGGACCAAAAGTTTTGTGCGGTTTACCCAACCCAAGCGAAGAATTGATTATGTTTCCGGAAATTTAATACAGTCTGTTGAAAATTAGAATCAGAAACCCCAGATTAGTAAGTCTCTTTCTTTTCCTTTATTTAGTTCTTTCTCCGAATATCGGCTGGTGTTGATTCCGATTGCGTAATATCACATATGGAAGAATTATGCTGCACGTATTGCACAATAACGTTTGCGGTATTTTGCATTGGTAATTAATTTTGATGTTCAGTCTGAGATTTGTTTATGAACACTTAAAAAAGTTTTACTGTGCTTTCTAAGCAGAATATTTCTCAGTTCCGTTGGTTTTTATATGATGCACATATCGAAATGTCAAAATCATTTATTTAGCCTAAATTTAAATCTAAAGAACGGCTACAATCTCCCCCACTCCTCTTTTTCCAGTTACTATCCGGAAAATTCGGGAATTTCCGAGTATGCTGGTTAGTTAAGCTTTTGTTGTCAAAGGATGACTGAATGAAGTAATTTCCCGTCTTCTGATTTCAGAAATGTGACTCTTTTTTACTTAAATTACTTTGCTTGGGATATATGTTAAGGGAAAACTGTTATGCAATGAAAATTTAGAAAATGTTCAGAATTTTGATTTAAGTTAAATTATTTAAATGTTAATATGAGTGGAAAAATAAATTGTATTTATTATTAGGTGCCGAACGAATACAATTAATATATCGTATTATTTATTTTCTATATTTTCAACTGAAATATCATCATTAAATTTTGTAATAAAGTTTAGTTCTGCATAGTTTTTTTTTTTTTCCTCTCATTGTAAACTAATTCTGTAAATTGAACTGTCATTTAAAATTTAAAAAAAAAAAAGTTAATTGTTTACCATTGTTGAGGTAATGCTCATTCTCTTAATAAATATTGCGCTGCTCATATTTTAAATTACAAGTCTAATTTTTCTTTTAAGGTTATGCAGGTGTGTATAATGTAATTAGACAGGTGCTTATTTTTTTAACTAAAATGTGGCTATGAACCGTGAATAAGTTATTATTTCATTATTAAGTTCTTATTAATAATGAAAATTAAATTATTCCCATAATTTTCCCCTCTAGATTTTTTGGGCAGTAAAATTAATTTAAAAAAAGAGAAAATACATGAGGAAATATTTGTATATATGTTGCAGAGTTGCCAACTCTCCGATTTTCGACCCTCCTCTCTCTCCTCTCTCTCCGCCAACCCGATTTACAATATATTTCTCCCGACTTTTTCTTATTCTTAAAATTTCTCACGATTTTTATAGAACTTGGCTAATACTTCATTATGTGAACAAACAAAAAAAAAAAAAAAAAAAAGTTATTTTCGGTGTCTGAAAGCAAATGAATTTTAGATTTATATATAAACAAAGCCTTGCGAATCAGATGAGAACTTCTGATGTGAGTGAGAGCATATACGTATCCAGAAATGTCATTCTCCAGTTCTCCTCCAATGGGCATCGAGCTCCACTCCGTGTCATCTGGCATATATTAGCCAATGAGCACAAAGCAAGCTCAAGGCTGTTATTTAGATGTTCTTTATTTATTTCGTTCATCTTGTCCTGAGTTGCGTGAGTGCACGTGCCTGGGAGAAATAGTTTTAGAAATTATCATCTTTTGTTATGTCTGCGAGAAAGGTGAAATACTCATGTACGTTTCAAAAATAGTACACGGTTGACTTTCCTTCCATTATTTCCTCAAGGAAATGTAATAAATTTGCAATGTGTATCGTCTGTCGTTGCGATTTTTCGATTTCGCGTGGTGGAAGGGCGGACGTTCTCAAACATGTACGTACACAAAAACACAAGGACATGAGATGTTTTGGAAAAAATGAAAAATTAAATTTTTCTCCGGAAACAAAGGACGAAAAAGTTATTAATGCAGAATATCTTTTCTCTGCCTTTTTACTGGAGCAAGTTTAGTTCTGCATAGTTTTTTTTTTTCCTCTCATTGTAAACTAATTCTGTAAATTGAACTGTCATTTAAAATTTAAAAAAAAAAAAGTTAATTGTTTACCATTGTTGAGGTAATGCTCATTCTCTTAATAAATATTGCGCTGCTCATATTTTAAATTACAAGTCTAATTTTTCTTTTAAGGTTATGCAGGTGTATATAATGTAATTAGACAGGTGCTTATTTTTTTAACTAAAATGTGGCTATGAACCGTGAATAAGTTATTATTTCATTATTAAGTTCTTATTAATAATGAAAATTAAATTATTCCCATAATTTTCCCCTCTAGATTTTTTGGGCAGTAAAATTAATTTAAAAAAAGGAGAAAATACATGAGGAAATATTGTATATATGTTGCAGAGTTGCCAACTCTCCCGATTTTCGACCTCTCTCCCGCCAACCCGATTTACAATATATTTCTCCCGACTTTTTCTTATTCTTAAAATTTCTCACGATTTTTATAGAACTTGGCTAATACTTCATTATGTGAACAAACAAAAAAAAAAAAAAAAAAAGTTATTTTCGGTGTCTGAAAGCAAATGAATTTTAGATTTATATATAAACAAAGCCTTGCGAATCAGATGAGAACTTCTGATGTGAGTGAGAGCATATACGTATCCAGAAATGTCATTCTCCAGTTTTCCTCCAATGGGCATCGAGCTCCACTCCGCGTCATCTGGCATATATTAGCCAATGAGCACAAAGCAAGCTCAAGGCTGTTATTTAGATGTTCTTTATTTATTTTGTTCATCTTGTCCTGAGTTGCGTGAGTGCACGTGCCTGGGAGAAATAGTTTTAGAAATTATCATCTTTTGTTATGTCTGCGAGAAAGGTGAAATACTCATGTACGTTTCAAAAATAGTACACGGTTGACTTTCCTTCCATTATTTCCTCAAGGAAATGTAATAAATTTGCAATGTGTATCGTCTGTCGTTGCGATTTTTCGATTTCGCGTGGTGGAAGGGCGGACGTTCTCAAACATGTACGTACACAAAAACACAAGGACATGAGATGTTTTGGAAAAAATGAAAAATTAAATTTTTCTCCGGAAACAAAGGACGAAAAAGTTATTAATGCAGAATATCTTTTCTCTGCCTTTTTACTGGAGCACAACCTGCCACTGATGCATCGGATCATGCTGCAGCTTTATTTAGAAAATTTTTTCCCGATAGTGAAATCGCTAAGAAAAACTCAAGTACAAGGACCAAAACAGGTGTAATTGTTAAAGAAATGGGTTTGAAAAATAAATCTTCAGTTATTGATTGCATTAAAACAGCTCCGTCCTGCCTCTCTATGCACGAAAGCAATAATACCGATTCAAAAAACTGTATCCAATTGTTGTTTCTTTTTTAAATCCAGAGTCTTCAGAAATTGAGTGCAGTTTACTTTCTTTCCTCACTTTAGAAGGACATTCGACAAGCTTTAATTATTTGGCACAGCTAATTAAAGTTTTAAAAGAAAATGTAGTCCCTCTGGATAATTGCTTAGCACTTGGTGCCGATAATGCACCAGTGATGGTAGGCTTGAAGACTGGTGTTGCAGGCATATTAAAAGAAAATTCAGATTTGCAGATTATGAGGTGCACCTGTCACCTCTTAAATTTAGCAGCTGAAAAAGGGGCAGCTTCTTTGCCAATAAATATGGATGAACACATTGTTGATATTTATTATTACATTGAAAGGAGTTCTAAAAGGAAGGGAAAATTGTTAATTGAGAGTTAAGATAAAAGGCTCTATTGAAAGTTATAAAATACTTAAAGTAAATGGAGATGTAGTTACTACTTCCATTGTTAAAAATAGGTTTGAAAAAAATAAAGTAATTCCTGTACCATTCAGCAATTCAACTGGCAGTTCTCAAAATAATACTGCAAAATATAAGTGTAAAGCTGATTCAAATTTCTCTCAAAGTAAAAAAATTGCTCAACACACGAAACATTTTCCGATTACTGTAAGTTTATCTTGTGAAGAACGAATATTTGTTTTTTTCTTCGGACCTTAACAAAGCTTTTTGCTTTTTTTTTTTTTTTTTTTTTTTACAATTCATTTTGCCATCATTCGATGTTGTTGACACAGTTCTACAAAGCAGAATTCCATTAATTCATGTTTTGCAATCAATGATTTATGATCTGTTTAAAGACATTTTATCAAAATTTGTAAATCCAGTCTGTGTTTTGTCTTGTAATTCTATATATGATGTGATTTATAGTGAAATAGAAAATCAGAAGAAAGATGAAGATTTGGTAATAGGAGCTGCAACTACAAAAGTAGTGTAAGAACTTTCGGAGGAAGACTAAAATAAGTTTTATCTTCATGTTAGAGGTTACTTCTGTCGAGTATGTGATTACATACTACATAAATTTCCAGTCAACGATGAAGTGATTTTGCATGCTAAAGTTGCTGATGTTTCTGCTCTAGCAAATGCATTTTTTTCTGATATAATGTATACTTTTTGATCAGATTTCCTGTGTTACTTCATTTAGTCATGAAAGATGATAATATTGTAGTCACAATTTTGCAGTTTACAATTAGAAAACTTGGATGAAGTTATAAAATCAGCTAGGATTAACATCCAGTGCAGTTTAATTGGAAAACTGAAAGGTGCTGATGGAATTTTAAAATATAGTGAACTGCCTAGAAATATGTTGGCCATCTTGACAGTTCCCCATAGTAATGCAGAGTGTGAAAGGATTTTTAGTGTTGTTGTGAAAACAAGAACTAAATTTAGATCTAATATTAGTGATGACACATTACAAAAACTTTTATTAGCGAAAGCAAGCGTACGTGGCAATTGCTATGAACAAAATTATGAAGTTTCTATCTTAACGAAAGCAAAATCTGGCACTGTGTACATTTGTACAAAAACTGGTTAAAGTGTCTTTTTTTTTTTTTTTTTTTTTTTTTTTTTTTTTTTTGTTGTTGTTGTTGTTTTCTTAAACGATGCAAGTAATAAAAGTGTTTTTTATGTGTAAGGTATTTTTGTGCTGCTTGCATTTAAGAATTAGTAACTATTTAAAGTTAATCCATTATTAAAAACTATATTTTTATCATTTAAAATATCTTTTTAACATTGTGAAAAATCTCCTGCTTTTTGAGTGTTGTAGGTTGGCAAGTATGATGTTGAATAACTTGTGTTGTATAGATATTGAATGAATTTCCAATTTATCACTTACTTTACTCAGCTTACTTTTTGTGAATGTTAACATTTTTCCAACAAACTGTACTTTTATAAGGTGAAATTGTGTGAATCTCTTATTTTTTTTTTAAAAAAAAAAAAAAGAGCTTAGAAAGGCTATTAATTTCAAACCGGCATTTTGCATCAATTCACTTTTCAAACTGTTGCCCCCAAATATTATCACCATGTATTATATTTAAAGAAACTAAATAATAAAAAATTTGCATGGATTTTCTCGCATTGTTGAGAAACAATCGTAACTAGAACTATCAATTTTGAATAACGTAGTCCTCCAACTAAGGGCACTTAGAAGCCCGAATTTTGAATTTCAAATTGTTTTTATTATTTATTTAAAATTTTGTAAAACTTTAACGAATTTTTGATTGGCAAACTAAATGATTTCAAAATGAGCAATGGCAACATTGTAGAGGAAAAAAAAAAAATTATCTTCAGCGCACAAGACTGTGTATCAGAAATTCTAAAGATATGCTGTGTTTAAATATTTTGTGATATTGATGTTGAATTGAATTTTATGCGTGTGCAAAGAATGTGATATTTAACAAATGAAGGTAACCCAAAAAACATTAAAAAAATGCCCTTTTGGGCGTAATATAAAATCTGAAGGTTTTTTTTTTTTTTTTTTTTTTTTTTTTTATCCCCAACCCTGCCACAGAAGAGAAGTATTTAGATATCCAAGGTCATAGATTAAATACTTAAAACTTTAAATATGAAATTGATTGAAAAACATAACCAAAAATATTGTTCCAGTTGTTATTGTTAATTTCAGGACGATATGATTGATGATGTAGAATCTTTTGTAATGGCTGCAGAAGTGCTGAAAGAAAGAGGAGCTTATAAAATTTATGTTCTAGCCACCCACGGATTACTATCATCAGATGCCCCCAGGTTACTTGAAGACTCTGCTATCGACGAGGTTATTTTTCTTATTTCTATTCATAGAATAATGTGCTTTAATTTTAATGTTACCAAAGACATATATAACAACGTTTTTTAATGTAAATTGTGTTACTTATATGATTTTGCAAGATGCCAAAATTTAAGACAAATTTGAGGATATTGTGGCTATTAGTTGCCAAATCTGTATCCAAGGGTAATCATAATCCAGGATTATTACTTTCTCAAAGGTGGAATTTCTGGATTTGAGAAAATAAAGGAAAGGGGGGTGAGGTAGCCATTTACTTCAATGCACCTCAGTGTTAAATAGCCTTAATCCTGTAACCCTGTTTTATCCGGTGATGTTTCCGATGTCCTTTCGTGATATCTTATACAAGAGATATTACAATTTACATACAGTTTCACTAAAATTATTTACATATATAAACTTCATAGCAATACATACTATGGAATATATATAAAGAGGAAATATACATCATACTGTTTATAGCAATATATATAGATATATACTCACACATACGCCACCTATAAGTCCAAACTACATTTTTAAAATTTCTTGGTTATATTTGCTGTATAACATGCACTCTTTTCTTTACGAAGTGTACGATACTGTTACAGGGTTCGTAGAGGTCCTTACAAGTGCTTATAAGTCTTTATATTTGAAGATAAGAAATAAAAACCCTTATAGGTGCTTACTTTTTCTCTGAAGCACCTTTTTTTTTTTTTTTTTTTTTTTTTTTTAGTGCTTTGTTTTTTAACGAACACGCATTTTTCACCTGAAAACAAAACCTGAAAGCTGAAACTAAATAAACAACTTTTTTTCCTTATATGGATCGTCAGATGGTCAATCATACTCCCGGAAATCACTTTTCACCCCTTTCTCTGCATAACATAACCTTTGTGCGCAAGTAGAGACAGGTGCACGTTGTTCTATTGGTAAAAGAATTGCAAAAGTGATAGAAATTCTGGTAAATTCTGTATTCTTTTGCTCCCACCCAATACTACACACGTTTGAATTTCTATCAAGATTTTAATAATTTACATTCTCGTTCCACGTGGTCAGCTCATATTCGCATTTATTATGATCGGTATGTATATGTATGAATATTTATAATATATTTACAGTAACTATTGAAGTATAGATAAACTCCAAAAATGGGTGTGTTTTAACACAGATTAGTTTTTAAGGAATGATATTCAGAATGGCATAAATAATCAAATAGTCAAAATAGTTTTTTTTTTTTTTTTTTTTTTTCCCCCAATGCATTAAACAGTATGCAAGATGGGTGTTCTCCCTTTTCTCCACAAAATCTGAAATATTGAAACCGTTACAGTTCTCAGCAAAGCAAGCAAGACTTTTTTTTTTTTTTTTTTTTTGGTCCTTTCCAACCTGGATTGAATAGGCTAAAAGTTCTGCAGTCTACCAATCCAAGCAAGAATGATTCTATTCCGAAAATGTAATGCGTGTTCAAATTAGAAAAAAAAACCTATATTAGAACCTCTTTAATCAATATGAGGTAGTCGGATATTGCGCGGGCGGAGCGTGTCCTCTCATGAAATATGCCACATGGGCCCAGATGGTCTGATACCGGCAGCTGTTGATTCTATTGGTACAACACGGCGGAAGAATTAAGGTGCACATATTGTGCAATAACGTTTGCGATATTTCAGAGAGATAAAACAGTTTTACTGTGCTTGCTAAGCAGATTATTTTTCAGTTTCATTAAGCTATTTTTTATATGATGCACATATAAAAATGTCAAAAGCATTATTTAGCTGAAAAATCCAAAGGACGGCTACAATCTATCCCCTTCCTCTTTTATCCGGAATTGACTATGCGGAATTTTCAGATATTTGGGAATTTCCGAGTATGCTGGTTTAGTTAAGCTTTTACTGTTAAAGAATGATTGCATGAAGCAATTTCTCATCTTCTGATTTCAGAAAAGTTCCTTTTTTTACTTATTTTACTGGGCTTGCAATATCTGTTAAGGAAACTTATACAAGGAAATTAAAAATGTTCAGAATTTTGACTTAAATTATTTAAATATTAATGGATTGGAAAATAAATTGCATTTATTTTAGGTCAAGCTAATATAATAATATGCTTATTATTATTTATTTTCTCTATTTTGAACTAAATTCCATCATTAAATCTTGTAATATAATTTACTTCTGGATAGTTTTTCCCTCCTCTCGTTTTAAACTAGTTCTGTAAATTGAACTGTTATTCAAAATTTTAAAAAAATAATGTAATTGTTTTCCATGGTTGAGTAATTCTCATTTTCTCGTAATAAATATTTAATTTCTGATATTTTAAATTGCAAGTCTAATTTTTCTTTTAAGGTTATGCAGTTTATATGTAATTAGACAGGTGCTTATGTTTTAACTAAAATGTGGCTACGAACCCTGTGTTATCTTTTGAAGTCATTCATTCAAAGATTTTTCCCAGGATTTGACAGGCATTGAATGGAACAATGTGTAAGGGGAAAGGCTAGAGAGAGTAAATAATTCTGAAAAAAGGGTGGTTGTGTTCAATGCAGGTGTGCACAAGAATATTATTCTAGGGTTATTAGAAAGGGGAGAGAGAATTTGAGGTAAGAATGCACTTCTGACTCGCGCAGAATTAGGAGGCAGATGTTTTCTCTTTCTGTAGTCTTTTGAAGTGAACACTGAAGGCTTTAGTAAATCACATTTACTGTAGTTGAAATGTGGGTGATCTAGTGTTCCTTTTAATGGTAAATATGGCTTTTGCCAAATGAAAGAAACATATTGTTGGTTTCAAATGCAAAAGTCGTTCAGTTTGCGAAAGAAAATGGAAATTGAACTAAAGTAAAGATGTTTAGTGTTGATGGAAGCTCCGTACATGAGTGGAGGAAAAATGAAATCACAGTAATTAATATGCCAAAGAGTAAATTTGCATAAAAGAGTAACGAAATTGCCTAGAAGAAAGTGTTGTGAATGGGGTCGCAATCACTCCTGTTTGTATCTAAAGTACCTGCTGTTGAGAAACATTTGGTAATACTACTATAAATTTTCCTCACATTTCCTGTAATTGTTGCCAGTTGTGAGAAAGTTTTTCTAATTAAAAATCATTTAAGAACTACAAATGTTTATTTTTCATTTACAAAATCTTTCTATACTGTCTACATTGCAACATCCCCTGTATGTCATTTTGACATATTTTTAGTTATTTATTTGTAAATCAAGAAAGGTGGTAAGCTCTAGCTACACCATTGATTAAATGTAGTAGTTCTTATTTTTAATTATTCTTTTCTTTTTTATTTCAGGTTGTAGTCACTAATACTGTTCCCCATGAGGTCCAAAAAATGCAGTGCCATAAGATAAAGACTGTTGACATCAGCGTCCTGCTGTCCGAAGCCATTCGACGCATCCACAATAAAGAATCCATGTCATATTTGTTTCGTAATGTTACTTTGGAAGATTGATCCTTTTTTTTTTTTTTTTTTTTTTCTTTTTTAAGCTTGCTATTCCAGACTTTTGTTGAGATTTTACATAGTGTCAGCTATTTTCTCTTATTCTTTTTGCACAAATACTTGTTATATTAAAACACATTATTGCAAAATTGTTTGTCAATGTGCATTGTTTTGATCAGTCTTTAGCATTTATTTAATCAAAGGTTGTCTTCTAGAGTGATTTTAGTCCAGCCAAAATTCCAAATTTTTAATCCTGTTAAATCCAATATTTCTAGATTTATGTGTTACTCATTATTTTTTTAATAATTTATTATTTAAAGATAACATAACATTTAAAATTATTAGACTATTGAGAAAAGACAGACAAGGGCTGAAGTTTTTAAGTGGAGGGAAGATAGAAAACAGAAGTACCCAATATAGACAAAATTGGTTAAATCTCTCTTAATTTGCTTTCAAGTTCATTTAATTACCTGAGTAACTACAACACAGTATAGAACATCCTTCGTATTTATAGCCTATATGTTGTGCAGATTGAAGTATTTTTTATTTTCATTACACAATACAAGTGAAGGTTTTGGCTTAGAAATCCCTGTGAAAATCCAATTCTTAAAGATTTTAGGGATAATTTATTGCATAACTGGACTTCTTACCAAAATTCTTTACATTCAATGAACCATTCTCTCCCTTCTGGCAATTGCTCATCTCCAACACCTATTAATGTACATATTTCAAGTTCTAATCTGATACTTAAGTGAAAAGCCAAAATTTCAAAATGTATTTCGGATCACAAACTTTTATTTGTTAGCAAAGAAAGCTGTTAGTTCAGCCGTCTACAAAAATTAAGCTTGTTCTTGTGAAACATAAATTAATTTTTAATATTTTTTTAATTATAGTTGTAGCTTCTCTAATAAAATTGTTTGAAAATATGTGTGTACGTACATGTTTCACATTAATATCCTGAATTATTTAAAATTGAGTTCGATTTTTAATACACTGGAGATTAAGGTCTAGCCACCAATTGCATTTACTTTTCAGCTGATAAACTACATTAAACTTTAGGATTTTGAAATTATTTTGCTTCAAGCTTTAAATTGCATTGCTATCTGGCAGCTACTTTTTTCTAGTGCATTGATGTTTTCCATATGTAACAAGATTTATTAAATTGACACCTTCTAGTAGATATCAGGAAACTTTCCAAAATTTTTTGCAGTTATAAATTGAATTCTTGTCAGTACCCCTAAGCCATAAATTGTATTGGTGTGTGGTTCTTTCTTCCAAGCCATGAATTGCATATCGCGCATTATCATCGCAGCAGACATTAAAATTTAAATTAAGTCATCAATTACATTGACATCTTTTAAATATCAGAGCTTTTCATCCAGAAACTAGCTATTTATAATATATATATATATATATATCGATTTTCAGGCCATAAATAGCACTGTCATCTAGTCATCAAAATTGGTAGATCTTTCCAAAACACAATTAATTTTGCTAGCTGTTAATATCATAATAATAATGATGTATTCTAATAAAATGTCATTCCAGTACCAGGAAATGCTACTCTGTTAAAATAATTCTACTTCTGATATTGTTTGTTAAGTTTCAGAATTGACATGGAAAAATATTGTATTAAATATGTGAAAATAAGCAAAAGTTAACATTATACTCTGGGCAAAGTAAATTTGAGAACACTAAAAAGCCGAGTACAGTAAGTGTCACTATGTTTACTAAGTGCCACTATCTGCAACTATGTTTTTCAGTGACTGTTTTGATAGCATTTAATTGTTGAGAAAAGTATCCTTCAAAATAGCAATGGTATTTAACTAATCCAATATAAATATAACTAGAAACATATAAATATCTACTTTCACAATATTTTAATTAGGGAAAAGTCATTATTAGTTGATTATTTGGAATCATTATGCAAAAGTTAATTTATGAACTGTTCATATTGTTTCTGGAAATTTATGTCGGAAAGCGTCAGAATCTTCTATCATTGATGTTTCAACTTGAGTTTTTTCATTAAGTTAACTAACATCAAATTCCTCAAAATTCATGTTAGGTGCAGACATTTTTAGTGATTCAATTTCCTTTGTTTCATCATTTATTAAAAGATTGGCATGTTTAAAACAGTTCTTTAATATCTTTTGTGATATATGTTGGCTGAAATCAAAATCAAGATTCTTGGCAACTTAATTCCTCATTCAGTAGCATGTCTGTGTCATTTGAGAATTTTTATTACCTTATTCAGTGATTTTATCTTATATTTAACAGCATTATTTCACATTCAAAAGTTCATTTTATAATATTTTGATAACATTAAGCAATACACAAAGTAATTTCTATGTTTTCATACACAAATGAGCAGGATGTTTGTGAATTGATAACAGTATGTGAATGGTAATATTAAATGTGATCACATTAAGCATTGCCTGCTGTAGTTTGTTTTCTCCCACCTTTTTTTTAAGCTTGTATGTTTCTTATGCCTAGCATTCTATTAAATACCACATTTTGATATTTTCCTCACTGCAGCATGTAAAATTTCTGCTGTATACAAATAGGCTTTGCTTCTTGCTTAAAAATAAGTAAATGGGTGTATTATACTTGAAACAAGGCTGATTTTTACTGAAGAACATGCTTGATTCGATATCAAATTAATCTTCTTTGAATTTCTGTCTTTCCCTCCTTTTAGTTGAAGCTTCATGAAAATATTCATTGCCAAATACTGTATTTTCTCATATATTTTTCACTGTACCTTTCCGGCTTCAGGTTCTGGAAATTTTAAAATTATTCATGTAATTTCAGTGCATTGAGATAAGAAATTCCCTTAAATTTTAAAGAGGATTTGGCCCAATAGTGATTCTTTTCTTTGTACTAACAAAGACAAACCTTCACAAAACTACATGTGAAGATCACACTAAACTTTTTCCTTCTAACTATTGAACTGTATACTACCATAATACAATAATCAACTAATCGCAGTGAAGCAAACATCAACAGATGTTCAGTCTTAGATTTCGATGAGTCGGCCGCGCATTCGCCTTCTGTGATTATTTATGGGTGATACGGGGCTGAATGATAGCCGAAACTGCGATAAGAGCAACAGATTTAACATAAAGAAACTAGAAATGAAGATATCTAATTAGCCATTGTAATTGTGTTAATATTACTATTATTCTTATTAGAATTTAAGTTTCTTTTAAATAAATAATGTGATAAATACTTTTAGTTTATCAATGAATATTTTTTTTCTTATGTTCTTAACAATAATCACACGGATGGGCCGGTTGCATTGGCGTTTTTGTCATTTTCCCCATGTGTAAGCAGCATTTTTCACATGAAACCAGTTTCCCATGGAAAGACCTCCACGAAGGCAGATAGCCCTTAAGGCTTTACCGTAATCATGCAAGCCAAAACTTACCATAATCACATTCTGTGGAAATTAAATGATTCACATAATTTTCTTCTTGACAATAAAATTAGTATATAAAGGGTGGATATATGTACGGAAATACGGTATCTATTTTTTCCATTGAATTTTAAAGGTTTTGAATATAAGTTCAACATTTCACTGTGGCCTGATCTAGCCCTACCTATAATAAAACAAGAATTTCATCCATATTTTGAAAGTTAAATTGACTCGCATTATTACTCAATTGGCCACATTTTTTGCAAGTGTATGCTATTTTATTTTTTGTTATTGTTCTGAGATAACATCACTCTTCAAAACATGCTGTCCAGCATGCCCCTGAAAATAAGCACCCTCACTGGGGGGGGAGGAGGCAATTTGCCCCTACTGGCATATTTTTGGAGGCAGCATTTTTCACATGAAACATTACTTTGTAGGGATTAGTCTTGCGGATCATTGATGCAGGTGAAAAATAATGAGATTCTGAATTGCTATACGGAATTAAACTGAGAAGAAGAGTTTACTATAGACAAAATATTTAAAGAAATTACAAGATTTCAATGGCTGCATACTCTTGTTATATTTTTTGTTCTGTCGAAACTTTTGAATGAAAATTATCAGGATCAACTATAATATAGTCATAGTGACATTCATAATTAGTCATAGTAATATTTTTTATTAAGAGAGAAGTATTTCTAAGTTCTATTTCTGTTATTGCTCTGGAAAATGAAATGCATACATAGAATGGTGGTCATTTTGAATTTTTGCAGTTTATTTTGAATGAAGATATTGTACCTTTGTTCGATATTGCATATTGTAATACAACTGCAGACTTTCCTCTCAACTGTAAATTTTTCTAGTTCTCAGAAGAATTTTCTAAATAAAAATCATTTTAAATAGTACTTAATAGATAAAAATTTTTAAAAAAAGGTCTTTCTTTTCTATCTGTATGGCAGCAACAGGAGCAATCTGGGAGACGTCTACAATGTCATTGATGATTTTGGAAACAAAAATACAAACAACATAATATCAATTTAAATTGTTGAAATTAAAGTTTTTTAAATTAAATGTAGAGTTTTTAATTCATTTTTCTATATATCTATCTAGCATATTTTTAGTTATTTGTTTTTATGTAAAGAGGGATGCCAAACTCGGAAGCTGCCATAAGCAGCAAAAGCTATAGCTATGCCAATGAGCACCTTAAGTGCTTGCTTGTGTTTGCTAGGCCTGTATCAGATTTTCATTGGTTTATGAAAATACAAGGGGTTAAGTATGCAAGTAATGAAATTTTTGAAAAA